TTTGTAAAGAATAGAAGTTTGTTTGGCTCATAGTTTTGGAGGTTGGGAAGTCTCAGAGCATGGCGCCGCCATTTGTTCAGCTTCTGGTGAGGTCCTTAGGTCACATCATAACATGCTGAAAGGCTTCACATGGTGAGGGAGCAAGCCAGAAAGAGCTTAGTTTTATAACAAACCCACTTCCACAACAACCCCTAACTCACAAATAAATTCATCCACTAGAGTCCACATGACTTGATCAGCTCCCAAAGTTCCAGCTTCCAAATACCATTAACGTGTAACTTTGGGATTACATTTCCAACTCACAAAATTGGGGGACACATTCAAAGCATAGTAAATTGATAGGTAGACAGAGGGTGGATTTCTTACATGGAATTAGCTTACACAATTAGGGTCTTGCTTAGGGCAGGCAGTCAGTAAAGTGAAAGCCCTAAGTGGGCTGGAACCCATGGCAAGGATAGAAGCTTGATAGTATCCACAGTTTGCAGGCTGGAAGAAGGATCCAGGGGCACAGGACTGCAATTGTTGACCCAGCAGCTACTGGGAGTGTTTCTGTCAGGGAAGTCCTAAACTTCCTAAAGTTTCCAGGTAAAGAGCTTAAGTCAGGTTCACCCAGGATTATCTCCTGTTAATTAACTTGAAGTCAGCTGATTGGGGAGCTTAAATCACATCTGCAGAATTCCTTCACCACAGCACCTGAAAGAATTTGACTCAAAGGTCTTTAGGGTATGTGTATACCTCAAAATGGCTGCTGACTACCTCAGTTGAGAGAAAATGTTTCCTGTAGTGATTCCTAAATGAAAACAACTTAGAAAGGGAATTCTGGGGGCCTAGGCAAGTTGACATATCCCAAAGCGGGATGTGTCCCCTGTCCCTGTTCTTTTTTTTTTCTCCCCATAAGTTAAATTGAGTTGGGTTTCTATCACTTGGGGTAAAAAAGGTTCTGATTCAGTTGCCATTGATTTATTGAGTGCTTCACATATATTATCTCACTTCGTTCCCACACATACCCAAATGAGGCAGGTATTATTTACTGTTTTGGGGACTAAGATTCAGAGATGTTATGAAACTTGTCCAAAGACACAGAGCTTCAAAGTCTGTCTTTCCACTGTCCATGCTGCAGTACCAGTCCTTGCCCAAGGAAGCCATCCCAGTTGGAATGCAAATTCCTTATGCAGTTGGAAGCTGACTTAAGCAATTTTTTTTTCCAGGTAAAAAGAGAAGTCCAAAGCTGATGTACTTTATTCAAGCCGATGACAGAACAAGTCCAAAAAATAGATTTTTATCTTCCAGACCCAATGCTTGGCCTAGATGAGTTATTTGGCTGATGGAAGCAATCGTTTGATCTGTTTCCCTTGTTGTGTTTGTGTCTGATTTTTTTGAAGATTATGATTTAAGGTTTTTAACTTTTATTTGGAGGCCTATTCTTACATGAAATAAACTCTCCTACAAATGTCAGCCATCGTCACAATGTCAAACAGATGCTTGAGACACCTCTTGCAAGACTTTGAGTGCTTCACACATATTCAAGAGAAAAAGAAAAGTGCAGAGGAACAACATCAGGTATGAGAGAGGGGGCTGCACTGCAGACTTGACAGATATTAGAAAGATCCCAAGAGGTCTTAGGATGAACTGAATGTCACAAACCCAACAACTTTGGTGAAATGGATGAATTCCTTGGAAATGGACACAGTGGGTGAGACCCCGGAGAGCTGAACCCCCTACCTGCCAAATCCAATGGGTATTTGAGATTATGTGATCCCTCTGTGGCATTTGCCACTGCTGACTGCATCCTCCTTGAAATCTTCCTATTTTGGCTTCTGGGAAACATGTTTCTCTATTTAAACTGCTTCCTTCCTCTTCCTTCTTTCTGCTTAATTGCAGAACCCTCTAGTGACTTTCCTTGCCCTTACTCCACATTTACATACAGGGCTTTAACTATCATTAGCATATGTCGATGCCTCCTAACTCTGTGACCCAAATTGCTTGGCTGAGCCTCAGTTTGATCAAATAGCCAGCAGCCATCTGGACAATTATCTATGCTAGCCATTTAATCAACGAGGACCTGCCCACCCTCCCCCTTGAATTTCTTCAGACCCCTCAAACTCAACAATTTCTCTGCCTACTAATAATAACCAGTTATGATTTGGGGCGTCTTCTCCCATTCTGCATCCTTGAAGGTTGGGAACAGCTCTCCCATCCAGACTCCACATGGGCACCCCACAACCTATCCTTCTCACTGTAGACCAAGTGCTCTTCCCAACCAATACATCTTATAATGCTGGTTTCAAAGCCTGGAGTCCTCTTTCTTTAACACTCCTTCATTGAGAGGTGGGCTTATCCTTAAGCAGTCTTGTGACTTCTTTGATCAGAGCCCTGTGCCAGTGATAAGATGTGTGACTTCCAAGGTGAGGGCAGCAAAGTCCATGCAGGTTCCACGGGCCCTGCAATGTTCATTCTCTGGAGACCTCCTCTCAAGAAGTTCTCTGTCAGAACCCAGCCGCCATATTGGAAAAAGCCAAGTCATATGCTTTGTAGCTGAGCCAGTTTTCAAGTTCTCCCAGTCCAGCTACCAGACCTGAAAATTCTTTTAGAAGTGAATTCTGTGACCCCAACTGTTCAGGCCACCAGCCATTTGAGTGTTCCCAGCTGAGGCTCTGGATACCACAAAGCAAGGAAGAAATGTCTCAGCTGTGGGTTGGCCAATCTCCTGACCACAGACTGTGATCATAAATAAAATGGTTGTGTTAAGCTGCTAAATTTGAGGCTAATTTGTTACATAGCAATAGTAACTGGAACATTCATGTCACTCCCTTGCTTAAAATGTTTCAGTGATTCCCCATCTCCATCAGGATGAAGTCCAAGTTCCTTTAACTCCTGCCCACCTCATCAGATACAGCTCCTGTTCCTGCCCATCCCAGTCCTAGTCCCATACATACTGCAATTCCTGGAATATTTGCTACTTTCCTAGGCTTTCAGACCTCGTATGTGCTGTTACTCTGGCTGGATATCAGGAAGATGACCAGATATTCATGAGATCATCTGAGTATTGTGGGATGCAAATTCATTTCTTTCTCTAAAATCCTCTTTTTTTTTTCCAGGAATAAAAATCAAGTGGCTCTAAAACAGTCCAGGTATCCTGCAAAAGAATATCCAAGGAATGTGGGCTGTTTTCTAGATCTTTGAATAAAATAATGGTTATGCAAATGGATTCCAAAGCCAGATTGCCTGCATTCAAACCCCAGCTCTGTCACTTCAAGTAGATGACTCTGTGCAGGCTACTTAATTTCTCCGAGCTTTAATTTCCCAATCTGTAAAATTGGGTAATAAATAATACTTCATAGAGTTGAGGTAAGAATTAAATGAGTTAAAGGGTGTAAGATGTTTAGAATGGTGCCTGGCAGAGAATGCTTGGCTAAATAAGTGCTTGTTTAAAATAAAAGAAATCTGTTTACTCTTGTTCAAGGCCTGCTGAGTGTCACTTTTTTGGAGAGACCTCCTCTGATGTCTCCCCATACTGGCTGGTTTCACAGACAGGTCCATGTTGTTGCAGCACTTTCAGCATGTCACAGCTTGGCATTTGTCACTGCCTCTGTAATTCTAACACTGTGGTTGTCAGTGTCCCTCAGTTCATCTAACTGATTCTTGAAGGCAGGGGCTGAATTTTATTCATTTTTTTTTTATTTCCCTAGAACCTGAGTCATAGTAGGCTTTCCATAATGTGTATTAAATAGAATCTTGCTTTGGTTTTACAAATGCAGTAACTGAAGCCCAGGAAAGGCTAAATGAGTTCTTCTAAGCTATACAGGTAATTAGTGGCTAAACAGAAACTAAAACATTTTTTACTGCCAGGCCTAAACTAGTTATGTGTGTGTTAATACCACCACTAACCCCTGGCCATTTGCTTTTAAAATGATTTATCAGACACTTATAAAATAATCCAAGTGCTTTTAGCATCTTCTGAGTCCCTGGACCGATTTAGCATCAATCACTATTATTCTTGAAAAAAAAAAAAAAAAAAGAGGATTACAGGGAAGGAAGTAGATTTGTCTCCTTCCAATTATTCAGACGATTTGCTGAATATCTGGATAATTCTGAAGCCTTGAATCTTCCTCATGTGAGAGGTTACTTTCATCCATTTACTCTTTCCAGATGCAGAAGTGAAAGAGGTATTATTGAGAAAATTAAATTCCATAGGGGGTCTCCTGCTGCCGTCTGGGACACCGCCAAATCTTGCTTATCTCAACTGCCAAATTGTCAACACCAGACGGCGCTGTGTCCTCACTACGTCGAGTACACCAAAGACTGTGGTGACCCCCCTCCCACCTCGCCCACCCCCGCCAGCACAGTCCAGGGGATGCTTCTCAACACCCGCACCTCTCCTCTGCAGCAGGCGCACTTCTTTTCTCTTTTCGAATCAGTGCGTGGACCAGAGTGTGTGGTGGTGGTAGTGGAGATGGTGGAGGTGGTGGTGGGTGTGGGTGTGTAGATCAGTGTCTCCTAATCTACACACCTGGCTTGGTGTTTGAAAAGCTGTAGCTTCTGCTGGCAGCTCCATCATGGAACCTGGATTGCTTTTTCTCCGTGACTTGAAATACATTTAAGTCAGAACGAATCGGAGGGTTAGTAGGTACCAGGAGCTTCGTATCCCGTGCTCCCTTCGCCCTAGCGTTAAATGCATCCCCCAGAGGACGGGACTCATCCTTGACGCTTTGCCAACGGTGTCAGCTTAGCATGCACGCCTAGTTCGTGCTGTTCCTTCGGCGAGATTTGGGGTTCACCTGTCCGGGGAGGGCGAGGTGTGTTCATCCCACGTGGACAGCCAGCTGTCTTTGCGTTCCTCTTCTCTACTTTCTTCCCTTCGCCCTGATTTTTCATTTCTTTTGAGTGATGCGTTTGGGGGGGAGAGGGGTTAAAAGGGGGGCGGGGTTGGGACCCAGCAGGGAGGGGCGTCGGAGCGCTGTCACAGAGTGTCACGCTGCCCTCCCCGCCCTCCGCCGGGGGTGTGGAGCGCGGCGGAGCGAGCTGCAGAGGGCCAGGGCGGAATTCTCCGGGAGTCGCGCGGCATACGGAGCCCGAAGCCGGCGGTCGCCTGTTCCTGTGCGCTGGGCGGCATCCCGGGCATCCGTAGCCCGGCTCCCGGAAAGCGTGCCTGACCATGGAGTCTTCGCATAAAGACGCCGAGACGGCAGCAGCGGCGGCGGCGGTGGCAGCGGCAGACCCCCGGGGGGCGTCCTCGTCGAGCGGGGTGGTGGTTCAGGTCCGCGAGAAGAAGGGCCCTCTGCGCGCCGCCATCCCCTACATGCCCTTCCCCGTGGCCGTCATCTGCCTGTTCCTCAACACTTTCGTGCCGGGACTGGGTAAGACTTGGTAGCCGTGACCCCTGAGATCCGGGGCCAGCCTCAGGAGGGCTGGTAGGAAAGGGGCTGGGCGCAGCTGGAGACACTCCGGCGGCGCCCACCGACTGCAAGTGCTGCGCCCGCGCTCCCGTCGGTGCTCCCAGTGTCCGCTAGCAGGTGGCAAAAGAGTGTGGAATGGGCACTCCGCAGGAGAGGTGTCACTCCCAGGTCTCCAATCCACAGGCGAGGTGACTGGGCTGGGAAGAGCTAGAAACTTTGTGAGGAACGTTGGAGATCGCGGGCTGTGGCCCCGACGGCTCCCAGGTCTCTGGGCTAGGCTCCTGTCCAGGCGTCGGGAATTCTGTCCCTCCTTTCCGTTGTGCGCACCCATTTAGCAATCCGTCTGGCTGCCTGGTGGGGCCCTGGTGTCATCGATATTCTAAATATTATGCAAGCCCGTTCCTTCCAGGAGAGTGGTGCCAGAGCAGGAAGGGCTCTGGAGCCAACTTGGTGGCTTTTGAGGAGTTGGTGGATCTAGGGGAAGTGGAGGCAAGCAGAGTATAGGGGACACTCTGCAACCCCCTCTGCCTTCGCGGAGAGAGAGCTCTTTAACCAGTCTCTTCCACCTCCTTCCCGAGTGCCAGCACCCCCGCAGGGCGCCAAGAGGATGGTGGGCGATTTTATTAGTTTGGATGCATGTGGGTTTGGACTGCATCTGGCTGGCCAAAGGTGATCCACAGCAAGCGGAGAGCAGAGCGTGCCCATGTAAGTTTGTGTTGGATTCAGGCTGCCTGGAGGGGCACTGGTGGCATTGATATTCTAAATATTAAAAATAGAGGTCCATCACAGAGGTAGTGATGCAGGATGAGTAGAGGTAGAGAATGAGCCTTTTTCCTGACCCTCCCTCCCTCAACCCCAGATCTCTGCCTATACCTCTTCCCCCACCTCCAACTTGACCACTAGCCACTGATCTTGTGTGCAGAGATGTGACCCCTCTCACTGGTGCTGGGGGTGGGGGTGGGGGAGAGGCTGAGACCTCTTGCTTTCACCTCTGGAGAAAGCCTGCCCCTGCCTGCTAGCCAATTGCCAGCACATGGGTCCGAGTTCCCAAGAGCAGAGGTCAGCTCCAAGTGGTTTTGTGTTTTACTTTGGCCTTTCTCACGGCCTTGCTCTTAGCCAGCTTGAAGGGACCTCACGGAAGTGGTCACCAAGGACATGCCCACCCACAGAGGACCTGTTCATTTTCCCCTTGTCACATATTTGCATATGAGCCCCAGGGGGCTGTGTTGGCCAGGGGCTCTATCTGCTTGAGCAGAAAGTTGAGTAGTCTTTAGTTGGGCTTCCCTCTTCAGACATGCCTTCAGCAACCTCGCTCCGTTCCCTTGACCCGATTTGGTGTCATCAGACCAGCCCTTCTGGTACTTTAGAGACTTTCAGGAGGCAAGCTGATGCTAATTTAGTTGTGTCAAAAATTTCTACCTGCTGGAGTAAAAAAAGACCTCCTTTCATCTCTCTGGAGAATGTAAAGATCATAAGCATCTGGTTTCTACTTTTTTTTTTTTTAAGTGGTGAAGTAAATGCCACCCTATAGGCTTTTGAGGAAACAAATGCATTGGTGCCAGATGGGAGTGGTTGCAAAAGTTCCTGTTGCCCAGGGAACCACCCCTGTGGGAGACCTGCCAAGGAGATAGCAGCTGCCCATCCATGCACCTTGCATGCCCAGCTGGGTCTCACTGGCTAGGTACCTTTTCTACCCTTAGCCTAGCTTCAATGACATCATCCATTCAACTCAACCCTGATACGTCCTCCCAGCATCCAGCTTCAGTTCCTTCACAGTTGGCTTTGTTAGATCAGAATCCCATGGGATTTTAATTATACACACACATGCGCGTGCGTGTACACACACAACTTTCTAAGAAGCCAGGAGAAAATAAAGGGGAAATAAGCAAACTGCAAAAGTAATGAAACAGGTGAGACATGGGTGTGTGTGAAGACTTCTGAATTTTCAGTGACTTAACCCAGGCATTCTTCCTGCCCCCATTTTGCTACAGTATAGTTTCTTGGGTGCACAGGTCCTGACTCCTGTCCACAAAGAATGTGAACTCCCTGACCCTTGGTAGTGTTTCTTATCTGTAAGTCAGGGATAACTGTCTCTCCAGATTGTTGGGAGGATGAAATATGATTACCTAAAGCCCAGGGTCAGGTGCATAGGAAGATGACCAGAGATGGTGGGTCTATCCTGCTACTTTGCTCTTCTGCAGAACTGAGCCCTGATCCCATATCCAGGTGGGGGTTGCTGTAGCAGTGGCAGCATTGCTTCTAAGTACTTCTGTTCTTTCTGCTCAACTCTCCACCTGTATTGGGGAGACCTCAACAGATCATGCAAATCTTGCAGGTAGTTGGTGTTTTGCTTTGTTTTTCCCCTCTCTCCTGCCCCCCTCACCCCGACTACCTCTGCCTAGGAATGGTTTGAATTGGCGCCAGCTCTTGATATTCCTCTCCTTAGCCCAGATCTTCTCCAAGTCCTCTTGCCTTATTGGAATATCCAGTGACAACTGAACATCTATGCTGTTTCTGCTCTTTGATGAAATGCTGCTCCTTTCAATATGTTCACTCATTCATTGGGTCAACACAGACATCCATCATATGTGAGGCAATGGGGTGTATGAGAATGAATGAATCAGTCAAGATGTCCTGGACTGTTAAGGAAAATTGATAAAACTTTGCTGAGTGCTATGGGGGCAGGGAAAAGAGTATTTTTATCAGCAATTAATTGTTCCTGAGGGTTGGAAAGAGCATCTTCCAGAAGTAGTGGTGGGTTAGAACCTTCTGAGGAAATCTATCTATCTTATGACCCCAAACACTTGCCATCCTTACTACAGTCCCACTCCCTGGGAACCATGTAGACCACTGACCCAAAGATTCCTTCATTTTTCTGGAAACTTCCTTCCTTAAAAGTCCTCTCCTTGTTTGCCAATTGGATGACAGAATAGGCCTTTTTTTCCCCTCTGATGTAGGTGTCTCAGGTCTACCTAGTCTTCAGGACCTTGGAGAAGCCCCATCCTTAAAATTCCCCAGATTCTTCTCTATCCAAGCAACAGTACTTATCAGGATAATGTTCATAACAAAAGAGATGTTTCCTCTCCTGGGAAGTGCATGGGAAGGGGAGGTAATTTATGATCATCTGACTCCTCATTGGAACATGACAAACAATTTCTTAAAATGGACTATTGTGAGAGAGTGATCCCCAGCCCTGTTTAGTGAAATTTTACTGATTAAGATCATTGCCAGTATCTTCATGTCCAATAGAAGGTGTAGATGTATATATGCCATTTTTTATGCATGTAATGAAAATTAATTGCTATGCCCCAAAATGGTCATAGAATTTGTCAGTGAAGGATTATAACTGTGCTTCCATATTTAAAAATTATATCTATTGTGATTTGGAAAGACAAAAATGTTGATGACTCAGATAGGGACAGGGCAAGTGGGAAGGAGGACTGACCATTAACCACTCCATCACACTGATGCTGGCCATTAATCTACTGTTCAACATTACACAAACATTTAATCTATCCCTAATACACTGCTTACTCGTTGACACCATTAAAGTCTTATTTCTCCAGTAACAGCACCATAGGCTAGCTCAGCTTCTATGTCTCTTTTCTTTAGGCCTGAGACTCAAACAGATGATTAATCATGCCTACCTTGTGGCATCTTTTGTATTGATGACCTTGTGTTACTGTTCTGAGAGTTCATTCTTTGCCTAGCTACATAGATTGTAAATTCCTCGAGAGCAGCAACTATTTTAAATTTCTCCTTGAAACAGTTTGCTATAAATGAATACACATTGACAGAATTATACTCCTGGAACAGGCGTTAGAGATCATCTGGTCCAAAGCCTTTCTTTTATATAGAAGTGAAGTAGGCCTGAGGATGCGTGGACCAAGCAGGTTTGCCTCCTCTCAACCCTACTTCTGGCAGCCATAAAAAGCAACCCCAAGATGAAATTAACCTAGAGGGCAGTGAGTTTTCATTACAGTGGAAGGATGGTAGGCTCCAGGAAAGAGGTTCTCTGAGGATGACATGAGATGGTAATAGTCCATATAATAGAGACTATTATTGGGACACTGTGAGAAACCAAGATTGCAATAAGAAACAGAAAGAAAGCAAAACCCATAAGGCAATAAAGATAAAAAAGCTATGCAAAATCATTAAGATCCCAAGGCGAAGCAAACTGCCCAAAGAGATCAGAAGGTTAGTAGGTTTCAAAAAATAATAGGAAGATGCCAAACAATAATTAAAGTGAGGAAGGATTAGGAAAATATTAGGGCATTAAGGCATATGTTTCTTCTGTCAAAGGGAAAAAGGAAAGGTAGTCATAAACTTCAGGAAAACGGAAAAAAACATTTTTATGAAAGGCATAACTCAAACATGAAGCAATCCAAAATGTGGCCTGATTTGCAGTAAGTGGTAGAATTTAAGATAGATTCTTAAATGCACAGGTCTGTGTCATTGGAACAGTGGTACAGGATTTGGGCTCTTTTACTCTGCAGTCAAGAACATTTGCTTAGTCATAATGATATAAATGCTGCTCAGTGCTTTTCAATTTCTAAAGCCAACAGCAAACCACTGAAGACTCCTTAAGAATAGCTACAAAGGAGCATATAAAGATTTCCCACCTTGACAATGTAAAATGAAAAACACAGCTTGCAGAAGTTGGAGAATGAAAGAGGAGAGAAGTGGAACTGTGAGAGAGTAAAATTATTGTTCTCAATTATTCACCTTTCTCCCTGAAAGGGGATGATTGCGCATTCCCACCTGATGCCATATGGCTTGGCTGCCTCTTGTAGGGAGAGAATACTTCCTTCCTTGCTCATTGATAGCAGGCTTCCCATGTGACTTGCTTTGGCCTATGAAGTAGGAATAGAAGTGGCACAGGACATACTGAACTGACACTGTAAGAGGCATTGTTAGATTCTGCCATTGTTCTTTCTCCTTTTGCAAGAATAATGGCAGGT